GTTTAGTAAAAGATGTTTTTTTGGTCGCAGTTTTCTTTGACGTGAATCTTGACCACCTGAACGAGATTTTCACGTAGTGGTTAACTTACGTGTTTTTGTTAAACAAAAGATGCATTAAAGTTCGTGTCAAGTAAAAGTACATTGCTTTCGCTTTCAGTTCACGGTCGAAAATGAGTTTAAAAACTTGAAAAGCATTAACATTACAGAATAAACTGGACATAATTGAAAAATTCGAAAATGGTGTTAAAAATAAAACATTATCCGAAGAATTCAAAGTGCCACACAATACTATTTCATCCATCATAAAAAACAAAGAACAGATTCAGCAAAAGGTAAGGATATTGATTGAAAGTGCTATAAAGTCTATCTTACCCTCGATCTTACCAAATTTTTCATTACAGGCCCGTTTGTATTCACTGCAACACAAAAAAACTCGCTCGGTTCAGTGTGTTCCATTAGAAAAAGCTCTGATGTTATTTTGCCAGCAAGCGATTTCGTACAAAATTCCGATATCTGGCGTGATTATAAAAGAAAAAGTAAATGAACTGGCAAAGAAAATGAAACACGATTCTTTTAAAGCGAGCGACGGATGGCTTCAAAAATTTGTTAAGAGGAATGGATTGTCGTTCAAAATTGCTAGTGGAGAAAGTGGAGCTGTAAATGTTGTTGACGCTGGGCGATTCATATCCGATACGTTGCCACTGTTGATTGCTGACTACAGTCCACAAGATGTGTTTAATATGGATGAGACGGGTCTATTTTTCAAATGCTTACCCAATAAAACATACTGTTTCAAAAGTGATAAATGTCATGGGGGAAAATACTCTAAAGAGCGAATTACGGTTGCTGTTGCCACAAATATGGACGGATCAGAAAAGTTGGAGCTTCTGATCATTGGTAAAAGTGCTAAACCTAGATGCTTTAAACATATCAAGAGCCTGCCAGTCATCTATAGAAGCAACAAAAAAGCATGGATGGTAAGCTTCATGTTTGAAGAATGGGTGCTTAAACTTGATGAAAGAATGATGATTGAAGGAAGGCGAATAATTTTGTTTATCGATAACTGTCCCAGCCATCCAAACATTCAGCAAAAGTTGAGCAACATCAAACTGGCATATTTTCTTCCAAATATGACCTCTGTGCTCCAACCACTTGATCTTGGCATAATCAAGTCTTTGAAAGTGCACTACCGCAACAAGCTATTGAAATATCAACTGAATGCTATTGAAAATGGTGAATCACTGAAAATTGATTTACTACAGTGCATTAACATGATAGCTGATGCATGGAATAACAACGTTAAACAATCCACAATTGTTAATTGCTTCGTTAAAGCTGGTTTTGTCAAACCAAACCATGTATTAATGAGAGTAGCATTGAAACTGATATAACTGAAGAAAGTTTATTTCAATCAAAATTTGAAATGCTCACTGAGAAAGGTTTTGATTCATTTGGAGGTATACACATGTATGTAATGTTTCAATAATATTATTTATGAAATTTGTGTATTCCAGACTACGTGACTTTTGACGACGGCCTTTGTGAAGGAGAACTTTTGACTGACGATGACATAGTCCGAATTGTTCATGATCAGTCATCTAGCAGCAGTATCGATGATCAAAACCACTCATTGACTGATGAAACTGTTGACAATGAATTAACCAGCGCGCCTTCTAAGAATCAACTTTCAGATGCTTTCCAAACAATATATGCTGGTTTATTAACTACGGAAGATCTGCCAAAGGACAGTTTCAGCAAATTTTTTGAATTAAAAAAAACAGGTTATAAGGGAAGAATGAATCGAAATTTGATTTGGTATAATCTTAAACGATATGTATTGTAATGTTAAAAATCGATTGGAATCATCTAAAATATACTTTGATTGTTTAGCATGGAGTAACGTATCTCTCTCTATAACGACATTGAAATTCTATATAACGACTATCTATTATAACGACAGTTCTCTATAACGACAGTCCCCTGCGATGTCGCTATAAAGAGCTTCGACTGTATGAGACAATAGAGATTGCTGACGTTTGTCGTACGCACACTACGTCACGTATACGTATACGCAAAATGTTTTCATCGGGAAAAAAAACTTCATAGCGGAAAATTTTCCCGATGAAAACAAATCACTGATACAATCATACTTTAGCAATCTCTATTCAATGCAGACGTCTTTCCAAATTCGGCAGATCGACAGGTAATCGGTGAGTTACCACGATAGTTGCTATTCAACAACTCGACAACGTCCCATCGTCAACGCCTGCTATGAGAATTTCCCATTGCAGACGCCAACGAAATGACGTCATCGAGCTATCGATCAACTACCCTGGTTATCGCCTGGTACCTTATAGCACGATGCTAGGAGGCGAACCGGAAGAATCGATGAGCTACCTCTCCCCCTGTTGCAATAGTTAATGTACACTAGACCTGTTCATTTTAAACGAAATGTTCCGAATGTAACGGGTCAACCGTGATTACTGTTCGTCATGTTAATTTGTATTTCTGTGTAAATTTTCAGCAAAATCGATGATGATTTAGAGGTGCTTCAAGTTAATTTTATGTTTTTAAGCTAATTTACGGCTTACAATATTTGTATCTCGAGACTGAAATAACGAAAACTGCTGTAACAACTTTCATAGCAAAGTTTAATGTGTCATGTATCAACTTTGTAACCAAAGGTTGACTATTCGAAGTGATTTTATTGAAGTTTGACTTAGTTTCATGCTCGAAGATATCTTAAAAAGTGAAGAATTTTAAAGTATTTGTTCTACGAATTTTCCACCCATATGATATAAAAATGTGTAGTGTACGGCATAATGTTCCTCACTTGCCTTTGATAAAAAAAACACGTCTACTGAGGATTCATAGTTATGGTAAAATCATATATCAATGAAACAGTCATCGGTCGTCATTGAAAAGCAATGCAACTATGTTCTGTCAATCTAATTGACTTTTATTGGCTCTGTTGTCTTGTGAATTTTAGCTAAAACGGCCTCTTTTCTGATTTTTATCTCTCAATCTATGAAATAAACACGAAAACTATGTTGGAATGAAACTTCTAGAACAATATGAGGAACATTATGCCGTACACTACACATTTTTATATCATACGGGTGGAAAATTCGTAGAACAAATACTTTAAAATTCTTCACTTTTTAAGATATCTTCGAGCATGAAACTAAGTCAAACTTCAATAAAATCACTTCTAATAGTCAACCTTTGGTCACAAAGTTGATACATGACACATTAAACTTTGCTATGAAAGTTGTTACAGCAGTTTTCGTTATTTTAGTCTCGAGATACAAATATTGTAAGCCGTAAATTACCTTAAAAACATAAAATTAACTTGAAGCACCTCTAAATCAACACCGATTTTGCTGAAAATTTGCACAAAAGTTCAACTTAACATGACGAACAGTAATCACGGTTGACCCGTTACATTCCGAACATTTCGTTTAAAATGAACAGGTCTAATGTACACACTATGAAAAAGTAATGTAAATTTCAGTGCCCTGAGACCAACACATGTAAGCGGCCCTTTTGACATAAGAATCAGTTGAAAAGGACGAGAAAATCAATTCAATCAAACGCACTTTTCATCGAGTTGCAAATGTTTCAGTTTCAGGACATTTAGTTTTACATGACATGTTTGTTTACGTTGATTGATTTACGTTAAAGCTGAATTACGTCTCGTGTAAAAATAGTAATTTCTAAGTGTGTATCCACCAGCTTAACTTCTTTGAACCTCTCGTCAAACTGCAGTGAAATTTTTTTCCGCCAAATCTTTTACCGAATTCATGTTCAAGGCAAATGATGTGCAAAGGTGAAGACAAAAAAAAATCAATCTTTAATTGCAAATGCAAATGCACTGAAAACATTTTTTATATTGAAACAAAAATCGAATGAAAAGGATCGATCGAATCGATTTTTTTCGTGGTTGAGATCGATTCAAAACATCGATTAATCGATCCAAAATAATCGATATTTTGTGTTTGGATCCAAGATCGCACTTTACTATTACCTACCATAGAATATCTCCATTCTATTGAACAACTTTACCCAAGATGAACCTTCTATGTAGTCAAGATGGAAGGCAATTAGAAATTGATGATCCAAGATAATTTAATCTGCATCCAGTTTTATTTGAGATTTGTTGAATGTGAAGTACGAATAGACCAAGTAAACTTAAAATCCTTCATCAAGAAATATCGAATAAATCTATACATTTTGCATGTGTTCTTATGTCAGAGTGGGCCAAAAACTATTACATTCAATTGTTTTTCACGGAAAACTTTAAAACTTTAAACATAGCTAAAATTGAATATAGTTACACAATATGAAAACATAGTGAAAATTAGGCCCTTTCTTGTCACTATGGTTCCACAATATTCAAGATTCATTGTTTAGTTATGTCACCTAGAACAGGAAAAAATATTAATGAAATAATCTACCACTTTTGAACATCTCCGTCACCTCGGGAGCCAAAATTTACGCACCGTCGCCACGGTGATAGTAAGACGCCGGTCGTTCGTTCGATTTGTGGAAAATGGGCAGAAGAAAAAAAACAACAAGAAGAACCGCGCTCCGATCAACACAGATACACAGACACCCCACTCATTTTCCGTAAACATTCGTTCACTCGGTCAGCCGTGAGTGCGCGCCGGCATCGTCTGGAAAACGAACCGCGTGGCGTTGAACTCGAATGTGACAGGGAACTCACACGTAGGTATGTAGGTGGTAGGTATTTATTGAACGAATGAACACGTTCAACCGGCGACGCGCGTTTCGTCTGTGAGACGCCGTCTTCGTGCTCGGTGTGAGTTCCTTCAACACCCACTACCCACTGCTTACATAGTAGCTAGGTTGGTGTTTCTGTTTTCTCTGTTCCTTTGGCCATCGCACGACACGAGCATCCGTGCGAGCATTGTTGTTTACCATCCCGTAACATATTTCATGAACCGACAGTTATGATGTTGCCGTTCGCGAAGCCGGTTCATAAACTCAAGTTCAGGGCGTAAAATCTCATTATCGTTCCGTGCTCGTGCCGTGACTGGTGTGCTTCCGATGCTGGTAAGTTTCTGAATTAGGATCGAGATGTGTGGAACTTAGTGCATTGTGTTAAAGTTTGTCATTATTCTGAAGGAAACGGTAACTTCAACCCAGGCGCATAATTTCAGCCAAGGAAGTCCAGCTTCTTTCCTTCCGAGTATAATTTAAATGTCCAGCTGCATGAATAAGAGAATAAAGTGATGATGATGATGATGATGATGATACTCTTTTCTCGTAGTCATCTGTTCGTGCAACACTGATTATAGCCTAGAAATGAAGTGACGTGAATATTTGCATTTTGTCTTAGAAATGATTAAAAAAGTGTGACGGTGCAGAAATTGAAAGAAAATTGCGTTTCTAGCTGAAGATGAATTTTCACTAGAAGAGAGTCTAGTATAGACGAAGCAGGAGTGAAACTTAAAGCAGACTAACGGTTTTTCTGTGTCCACCCTCTCTCGGTGTATTACTGTGTAGGAAGGAAAACACTACGAAAACGATAACCACTACTTCGTGAGTGGAATTACGAAACTTGAGCCGATATTTCCGCGTACCATCGAGCATATGCGTCTATGGAAAATGTGTTATCTGTAAAAACAGGAGGAATAGGCAGCGAAAAAAAAAATAACGAAGGCAAATTCAATCAAATAATCACCACGACGACGAGACAGCGGATGTGCGAAGGGAAGATAGTGTTTACGAATTCGGGGTGTGAATACTAAGAATCCTACACTGTGAAGTGCAGTTCATTTGATCAGAAGAGTCCGGATTATTGTAGATTCCAGTTAATCAGTGCCACGGTTAAGTTGATTGGAAACGTCATATCGCAGTTTGCCGAAGGAATGATTCGCGTCGGGATGGAAACATTCTAATGGTCAATCATCAGCAGCAAGGTATGATATTCATGAAAAAAAAAACTGCTTTCTAACTAAGGATCTGTTAAAATCATTCTATGTGCCTATTTTCAATCAAATCCCGGAAAGTAATATGATCTGTGTAAATATTTAGCGAGTTTTATGCCGCTGTAAATTTAGGTCATCAGTGACATACTGACTGATGACCTAAATTTCCAGCGTTGCGTCTTGTCCCATTAATACAATAATGAAGCATTTCTCGGGGTTGGTTAAATATTTGCGAACGTTTGCTTATATCGTCATGGGACGGAAGGGAAAATAACCTGTTAAGCAACAGAAAAGACACTAGTCAACAGGAAGATTGTGTGTTATAGCAATTTTATTACCCGATTTAATGGATTTGCGTATACTGTTTACGTAAAAAGTTGTATAGTAGGTATAGATCAGCACGGTTTTACGATGTCTATTTCTTGTTTATAAAATTTTCAAGCTTCGATTCTAGCAAAATCCTCAATTTGCGGTTCCTTAGTCTAATGTTCATGGTAGAATAGATACTCGTTGGCTCACGCCAAACAACTTTCTCTTACATCCAATGTAAGGTTGGATTAATTGCATATTTTTCATACAACAAATGGCAGTTCTTGCCAGCAGCGTACAAGCAAGTTTTTTTTTTTCAGAATGCATATTATATTATAAATTCTGCATAATTTTTATACAAATCTGTAATAGAATCTTACATTTCCCGGTTCGGTGCATGAATATTTTATGCTGCATGGTACATATCGTCAGCTTTGTGCATCACTTGGACACTGGCACTGAAGTTGACTGAAGGATATCAATCAGATTTTGATGGAGGTGCATGGTTGTTCATATCATACTTTTGTTGTATTATCAATTTCTTAAAGTGCCGAATTCCACTTTCTTGTTTGATCGTATGAAGTTAGATGGTAATTATGATCAATTAATTTTCTAGTGGCAGAAAAAATCATTCATGTATTCATGGAAACAGTGTTTAAAGCGGTCATAGTAGTTGACGTATTTTCTGTGATAATTGTTTTCCTTTTCATCTCACTCTCGCAACACAAGCTATCAAACTACAGTACCAAACTAAAAAGTCATATGATATGGCTCTTAAACGACTGTGCCGCCGAAGAACGTTACTCTTACGTGTTTTTATTTCTTCTGGTTATGAGAGCTGCCGTGCTTGTGACACATCTTATTATAATATCCAACGATAGCCGAGTGGAAGCATTTCTAATCAGAAATAGTGGAAATATACACAGCAAAAAATAAATTTTAATATTACATCCAAGAGGATGCACGTCAATTATGTCGAAAATCTTATGTAATTTTTATGGCCACAAAAATAAACAAATGCAGTAAAAGCAACGTAATGTTAGTTCATGCACTGTATTAATGATAATTTTACACCAAGTTATATTACACCATATTTTCGACACTATTGAAGTGCATCCGCTTTGAAGTGATATTAAAATTGATTTTTTGCTGTGTACCCAAAATAGGAAAATTAGAACGAAGTGACGCTGACAATATGTTATTTGACAGTTTTCTGTTTTAAGCTAATGTTTTTCTACCCCTCATCCTGTGTGAGAGCGATGATGGTAGAGCATGAGTGTACGAAAATAAACTGACTTTAGCCCACGACAATGAAGTGAATGCAGTAAAAATCAATCTACGTTTCATCTAGAGATGGTCAAAATGGATCACTTAGATGAGCAGCTCAGAACCGGTTCGTTCATATAGTTGACCCGGATCTTTTGAATGGTTCATCGGATCACTTTAACCAAGATAAATTTGAAATTTTGTGATCGTTCGTTATTTAACGCAGAATAATTTCATACGCAACTTATTTTCATCAATTATTCATTGAGGTGGTCGCCACCAAAAACAAGAAGTGACTTTCGGCAAGGTTGCAAATACTCATTTCAGCTAAAATAATGTTTTTCGGAATAATAAAACCAAAAGATGGTATGATGGCATGTTTTACTTGTAACTTACAAGAAGAGGTTACAAAGTATGCGCTTGAAACATAAAACCTGTAAATTTTGCTTTCTATGAGTCACAATCAGCGATTTTATGATCGCTGAGTGAGTGAGTGAGTGTGTGAAAAATCACTGATTGTGACTCTCATGAAGTGAAATAAATATCCTACCAATTCAAAATATGATCATGGCATCTAATTATTTTATAATTTAAGAAAAACATTGTTTTATCTGATATGAGTATTTGCAACCTTGATTTTCGGCATCTCATTCTGAATCTCTTAATGTTTTCGGTCTGAGAACTCAGAGTTCTGATAATAAGTGAGCCGAGGATCTTTCCCTCTGCATACTTTTAAACGGATTTGGATCTGATTGCCCGTCTCTAGTTTCAACCATTTAGTATGTTATACTCAAAAGGGAAAAGACTACTAGAACATTAGTCGTCCATAATCACCATTTAAATTTGTTGGTAAAAACTAATAAAATGAACTTCGAGATGTTTCTTATCAGTTCCAGAAAAGAATGTCTATACTAGATAGAACATTAATTAATACTAAAGCTTGCTCTTTTCTCGTAATTTGTCAGTCCTGACTATCGGGATATGAACAATAGAGTGTTTCAGTTTGATTCATTGTCACAGAATATGAGCCTGTACAAAAACTCTAAATATTGCTGAAGGTTTAAGAGTCACTCAAAATATTTAAAGTTTGGATGAATTTTAGATTTCATCAGTATCGCTTTAAGTTTGGGTGTAGATGTCTAAATGATATCAAAATTGATTATGCTGTTGATATGACACTGACCAACAAAACTGTTATTGTAATGGATAATTTGGCAACAATGAAGGTAGAATGCTATAAAAATGCAAAATAGAGTTAATTGACAGCAAAATATTTGCAATTTTAGTAAAAAAAAAAATCTTTGAGTTTATTGACTATTGCAACCACCAAGGGCGTAGCCAGGTTTAGAGCTAGGGAGGTGCGAAAAAAAAATTGTACTATGGAAAATTTGGCCGAATTCCATTTCCCCAAAAGGCTTTTGTTGCTGAGTTTAGGAGGTAGTCGCCTCCCCCCTGCCCCCATCTGGCTACGCCTATGGCAACCACCTATTACATATTTACAGTATTCTGATCGCATGAATCAAAGGTAGAACGATGTGAGTGAAATTTATAAATTTTCCATAGTAATTTGCCATATTCTCCATACAAACTTTAAACCATTTGAACATTACTAGTTTTTGTACAGGTTATTATTTTGGGTTTATTATAACTTTTGCGGAATTTATGGCTTCAGCAAAATCGCGAATTTTACATGACATGAGTCAAGTCGAGTTTGAATACGAGGCACTGTTTAAATCTGAACAGAACACATTTTTAATTTTATATTGGTTCTTGGCCACATTTTTAAAAAAATCAAACACTGTTCTTTTCAATGCATAAGGCCGATTCAAAGAATAATCACTTAAATAGGGTTGGGCAAAAAATAAAAAAAAATAATCGACGAAAAAAATATTAATGTGTGAACAACTAATTTAGTGATAAATAAATAAACAATAAATAATAATAAATTTTTAAGGAGGTGATATAAAATTCTATTAAAATTTGCAACTAACCGATTCACTTTATATCTGTACGCAAGAAATATTGATTAACATTTGAAAAGGGGGTAGCTCTAAAATGTAAAAAATCCATATTTTGCCACATATAGAGAGAACAGTTCACAATCTACTCGATAAACACGAAAAAGTAGAAGAAAATATCACTTCAAATCATCAAAAACGTTTCTTCTTACATGGCGTATTTACAACTTTCAACTCTATGATTGTGATGCATGATGATAGATTACACTGTTAACTATGTGTCAAGCTTATAAAATCATCCAGAAAATGGATAGTCGTGAAATAGGATTGGAGTCATTTTGGAGCTACGCCCTTTTCAAATGTTAGTCTAGAAATCAGTTCTATTTCAGGATTGTTTCGATGAAATAAAACAGTTGAGCATTCAAAATAAAGGTTTCAACTTTCAGGAAAAGTATCAACAGTCTTACTCCGATTTGGTTTTGATGTAATGACGAACTTTTCTTGAAATACATCACATCATGTTTTGGACACTCTGTTCGTCAACTTGAGCCTCCATTTTATTCCACCATCTCTTCATCTCTGCAGCATCCCGAGTCACCTTTCCAATCTTTTTCAGCTTCCGCTTAACAATTGGCCAATATTTCTCGATTGGGCAAAATTGAGGGCAATTGGGTGGGTTGAGGTCTTTTTCGATGAAATCCACCTTGTTGTCATGGTAGGGTAACTGATGATGGTTGGACCTATTTAGGCCGGTTTCATACGACGTCAACATTCATGTCGTATTTTTTTGATGAATTCAACATATAATTATGAAAAATGCGTGATTAGGTGAAAGATCTACTTTTCTTGTTTCTAATAATAACATAAAAAGTTAAATATTATGAACACATGATTTTATAAAACGTTTTTATTCAGCAAAGAATTATGATGTTGGTTGGACCTATACTGATCTTGGTTGGACCTAAAAAATGATGATGGTTGGACCTATTTTTGCAAATGCTAGTTTAGCCCATAATTGTTCAAAAACTTAGTTTATAGCTTATTGGTATCATGAAAAAAAACCTTTTTATACAGTTTTTATGAATTTGCTATTTTAAAAAATCAAGAAATTTGAGTTTAACTTCATTTTTAAAAAAGTTCACTTTCCACTCATTAGCTATTCATCATGGCTCATTTTCTCGGAAAATCATTGACGCGATTTTGAAAATTTTAAACGTCAAACTATAGGTATTGTGGTCCCATTGAAAGCTATCGAATATTTTTAGAATCGGTCAACTGGTTCCGGAGATATGGCCGGAACAAGTTCCAGGGTATATGGAACATGGACCTAATTTTGACATGGAAGGAATAAAACCTATCATTCGATAACAAGATCAATAACAAAATTGAGTGCCTTGAACCACATTGGCCACTTCCGGGCATGTTTTGGGTGCCCCCGGGGAATTTAGGGGCTTAAAA